GAGTCGCAAAGATGACAAAGTCTTCCTTGGATTCAGAATGAGGAACAAGGGGGCCTTATCTTCCTCACCTTCCCATGGCTCTGTCCAAACCTGCTGGGACACAAAGATCTTAATGACTAAATGCAACCTGAAACCATGCCATGGGATTCTAGGGATCCTCCACCAGCTGGGAGATGTCAAGCTCTTCCTGGCACCCTGGAGCTATGTGGGAAGTCATGATCTCCACGGACCCATACATGTCCATAGTCCTGATTTTATACTTTCTGAATGCCTAGGAGGCCTAAATAGGAGAATTCACTATAGCGAGCATTCCTGTAACAAGGTAGTTATTTACAAATACCACCTACTTCTTAGAATGGGCCCTTTCCCAGCCCTTTCTGCTCTCCCCTGAGACTCTGGCACTTGTAAACAGTTCTTGCTGGCTTTCCAGATACACCCCCACATGTCTGCTGGCATCCCCAGAGCTTTCCTCAGCCTCTTCACTTTGGGGAGCAGTCTGATGTATCAACACAGGGTCTCTGGCAATGGCCAGGAATTGCTTGCCTTCAGAAACTTCTCTGTGCCATGCAAGAAGGCTCTGGACAATGGCTAAGTCATTTCTTTCCCAGCTTAACATATGTACAGGCCTGGTTCATATTTAGGATTTGGCAGTTCTGGGGCTATTGCTCTTTAAGGCTTTAGACAGTCCCACCCATGGTGTAAGTGGGTTTCAAGGTCAAAGAACAAATGTATCTGCAAATTACATCTTTAATAGAAATTGGTAAACTTGTAGATCATAAAATTAAAGATTTTTTTTTCTCTCGAGGCACTAGCAATCAAAAGTTTTATCATAGGTTCCAGACCTTTGACAAAAAATTGCCACTTTTGTGCATAAAAGCTATGACAAAAAAATCTGAAATTGTATCTGGGTGTTGTGGTGGGCTCCTGTAGTCCCAGCTACTTGGGAAGCTTAGGCAAGAGAATCACTTGAGCCCAAGAGTCTGAGGTAGCTATGAGATGTATTGCCACAGCACTCTACCCAGGGCAACAGCTTGAGACTCTGTCTCAAAAATAAATAAATAAAATTAATCTGAAGTTGTAAAATATATGTATATATACATTAATGACATTTACATCAGCAGTAGGAATAATATGAAGCATTGTGCAGATCGCCTGCCCAATGTCATGAAATGCCTTACATGCTAGGAGTAGATTACATCTGATATTATTACTGCCACTAATACTGTTTCCCCAACACTCACAAATCTGAGAATGTTTTCTGAGCCCTGTCTGCAAATGTTTGGCTGTGCCTGACTCCGTGGCTGACTTGATTCCTTGTTCACTGTCTGGTGATTCATTGCACTAAATGCCATTTTCCTGATAATTAAAAACTGCTCACTGGCAAGTGGGAGCAGGAACAGGCTGATGCAGGATTTATGCAGAAACACAAAATGAGCCAAAAGACAAATGACCTGTTCTGCCTAGCTAAAGGCATTTTTTTCTCATCATCTTCTAGGACTTGAGAAAGGCTAGCTGTACTGTGGGGGAGAGGTCTGAGGAGGCGTGTCATTCTGCAATGAGGCGGATGCAGGGGAGCCATCACTGCCGGTGCTCAGCCCAATCACTCTCCTGATTTAGAACAAAAACTCCAGCCCCCCTCGTCGGAAGCCAGGGCCCTCTACTCAGTCCACCCAATCAGACTTTGCTTAGCGGAAAAACACTAAGTTGCAGCCATTTATTAGACCTACCATTTGCTTTTTCAGTTTCCCTTCCCTAATGTGACAACGCTTTCCTCAAGTGCAGGGAAAATGAGTCCTGATTCCTACTGTTGCAGTGATTAAGATGCCCTAACTTGACATTGGATGGCCACTTCTGGGCCCCAGGGGGTCTCCTGGGCTTCTGGTGAAAAGTCTCAGTGATACCAAAGCCTATAGCCCCAGAACAGCAGCTGTGATATCACACATATTACACATATGTACACACACACACACACGCACTTCTTAGTTCTGTAAGCAAAGCAGAAGACCCCCCTTGTGAGTAAATAACACCCATCATCGCAGTGCAAACTTTCTCGCATTTGGGTGCACTTTGTTGTACATTACCGGCCCCAAAGAATCCTGGCACCATCCGGAGATGAGCCCTTTCCCTCTGGGAATAGCTCCTTCCTTGAACTGACTGGGGCCAGTATCTGTAAAGCTCATTAACAGAATCCTTTCCCATTCATCCTTATATATGTCTTTACTTGCAAACCATTCATTACAGCACATTCTAGATTGTTTAATTAGTTTCCATGGAAGAGTTCCTGTAAGACAGCTTAGCATACATCGTTTAAAAGCCCTTGATCTAAAATAACAAGGTAGTTATTTTCAAAGTAACTAATATAACCCTAAATGCTTACATCCCCCCCTGTTCACCCCCTTTCTTTCCCTTCTTACCTCCTCACACACTTCCTAGAACAATTTACTGAGGATAATGAACCTCTCAGTCAGTGAGCCCTCACTGTACATTGGGCACTGGCTGGTTCTGTCACCAGCAATAAGTTCTTTCATCTCACAGCCATCCTGAGAGGGAAGTGTCATCCTCTTCACTGGCAGCAGAGAAAACCATGCCCAGCGAGGTGTACGACTTGCTGCATTAAGCAGGGCTAGCAAAGGCCTTTTGAGTTCTGATCTCACCTGAGGGTCCCAACCTCTGGGCTCCTCTCCTCCCCTCATCACTGCACGGAATTTGGGATAAGTCACAGTTTGTAGGCACGGGCTCGCTGTCCCTTTTGCATTTTGAGTGCGGCCGTTGCTGCTGGTTGCACATGGGCTGGCTCCTACCTGCAGCATCTGTATTTCTTGGCCTCAGTGCCTTCTCTGGGGCCTCCCCACCCACTCATAGGTCAGGCCCAGCAGCCCCCGACCAGTGGGAACAGGTGGGAATCAGTGCGGAAATAACACAGCTCCCTTGACCACCCCTGGGGGGAAGGACACTCTGAAGCACAGGTGGTCACCTAGACATTTTTTAGGTTCTAATCTCAGGGAGGATGAGACCTGCTTAGTGACCCACAGTGGTCAGGGGCCCGAGAACATAACTCTCACAGGCTCTTCCTTTTCCGATCTTACTTCCCTTCCCACCTAGGTACTTCCTGAGATTGACATACAGATTAGCCACTTGCTTTCAAAATCTTGCCTCGAGGGTTGCTTCTGGAGGACCCAAATGTAAGATGGGGTGATGGGGTGCCTGAAGATCACAACTGGGGATCTGGACACACTGTTAGCCGGGTTTCCCTGTTCTTGCCCCTTCACTTGTTCTCCACATCAAAGGAGAGACACACAATAGCCCCATCTCTGTATCGCCCCATCTGCACTGTTATTAAGGCAAGAACCCCCCTCACACATGCACACACACACCCCACTCGCATCCATGTCCATGGATTAGAACATTCTACATAATGTGAGCGTCTCCTATTTACTTTGTCCGAATTTCTGTCAGTGCATTCCAAAAGCAATGTCCTTCCAAAGTTTCTAAGGAGCCTTCTGGAGTGAAGTTAACCACCCTAGAACAAGGCCACCCAATATGCCAGAAGTGATTTTATTTAATGACAGGGAATAACTGATGTTTCAGAAAAAGCTGTTCTTCTGAGCATGGCACCTAGCTCTCTTTGGCTCACAAGAGGAGCCTCTCCCCGCAATGCTCTGCTGGATCACCCTTCTTCCTTTGGACTGCACTCTAGCCCTTGCCCCAGGTGGTGGCCAAGCAACATTAATTTGGGGAAATTATAGAGCTGTCATAATTTTTTTTTATGGAAAATATCTGAACTAGAGCATGAGCAATGGGCTGGAAATCACCAGAGAATAAGCTGTAGGCATGGGGTATGGGGAGGGGGGGTCCAGCCTCAGCCTTGGGTCCCAGCCACCGTGCACAGGGCAGCGTGGGTTTTTTAGGACTGCCTGCCACTGTCATGGTCTCCGTCATGAAGGAGACAGCAGCGCCTGGCAGGGAACACCGTAACTTTTCCCAAGACTGCGATGCTAGGCCATGACATTTTGCTTCCGAAGCCCCTGCCTGTCCACTGCCCATCACCATGAAACAAGTTTTATGCTTTGCCTAATGACACATCAAACATGTTGAAAAATTACATTGTGAATGAATCCATTTGTTTCGTAGGTTCCATTTACTTTTTTTTTTTTTTGGTGCCCTCTCCTCCACTTTTCAAATGTGTTTTTTCTACAGTGACAATTCTCCACTTTGTCCCCATATGCACCTATTTATCTTGCCACCGTATACATCAGTGACAAGGTCTATATTCCTTTACGTATTTCTCACTCACCATTTCATTCGTTTTTCATTCTTCAGGCTGTCTGAAGGCATGAAGTTTCAATTATATTTTTCTTTCATCCCACCTCATTTTTTCCATGTAGACTTTGTTCTTTTCTCTATTAGTATTTTCTAAGCTTTTCTCTTTGCATTTCCTCCTCTGGTATACTGCCTCAGCACTTCTATCTTGAGGTTTTTCTAACAGCAATTCCTCTTTCTCTTTTTTTTTATAAAATCTGTCTTTATCCCTCTTGTGGCCCTGCACCACAGCCGTCAGTTATAACCTTAACAGTGGCCTCCACTCAGGAAAGTTGTCAAGTTGATAAATATTGATATCTACCCTACCATTTTACCATCACTTTTCTGCTAATGTATTTGGTTGGCATCAATCAGCTTCTTTGCCTTCTGTGAGTGCCTGGTGTGGGAACTGGTCCCGATCTGTCATTTATAAGTAATCTGTTTCACATTTCAGCAAGAGCTCACAAAGAGAAGAAAATATAGAGGAGAAGTAGAGGACAGAGAACCAGGCTAGAACAGCCCAGTGGGGAGAGAGATGGGGAGACAGGCCTGGCGAGAGAAGGAGAGGCAGAGGAAGGCTGCAGCCTGGTGTGTAGGAGAGCGCTTCCCAGGAATACCCTTAGTACCAGGAACATCAGCAGTGCTTAATGACAACACTGTCCTCCTTGGAATGTTTAACCCTGCTTATCTCCTCCAAAAAGGCTCCCCAGGGATGAAGATCTACATTGACCCCTTCACTTATGAGGACCCCAATGAAGCTGTCCGGGAGTTTGCCAAGGAGATTGATGTATCTTTTGTGAAAATTGAAGAGGTCATCGGAGCAGGTATGGCTCTCCCCTTCCTCATGTATGTTCCTTTGGTGTCCAGACATCTTCTGCCCACAATTCAAAGTGTTCTCTTTCAGTATGAAAATCATCCCATTAGAAAGAGAACTTCTACCTTCTTTCTCCTAGAAGATGATTCTGGCCCATCCACCAAGTCTAGAGCAGAGAGAGAACATCACTTGGGATCTTCTGGAGACCTTGATCATGGTGGGCAAGTTTGTATGGTATTGCGGAAGAGTCAGCCATAGTTTTAAAATATTCAAAAATAGCTCTGGAAGTGCACTGTCAAGTGAAGGTAGGGAGAAAGATAGAGGGTACTTGCTCTAGAAGACTTTGAAAGAAAGATAAATTTTTTAGGAGCTGGATCTAGTATCACCGACAATGGTATCTCAATGGCTTAGGGCCAAGATTCCTTGGTGTACTTTGAGTTCTTTTCCTCCATACATAGATTGGGAAATAGACCCTGAGGAAAAGAAGAAACTCAAGCCACAACCCTGTGTTCTACAGAAGGTCTGTAGCGTAGATGGGTAACACAAGACAAATTTCACTCTTGAGTAACTCGTGTGCTCTCATCCTGCATTGAATAGAAACCCAGCCCAATGTAGAGCTTGCTGCCTGAGATGGTTTGGGGAAATTATAACTAAAGAATGATCTAAAATTTTCATCTTTATTTAAGGGTTGGTATTTGAATCAATTTGGGAATGGACCTAACCTTATTAATGCAAATGGGATAAAAAAAATTCAAATTATCACTACTTTAAAAGAAATCTCTTTATTGCTTCTTATGAATCTTCTTAAAACATGTGTTTGATTTGTGTCCCTTTCCCTACTTTCTATTCTTCTATGGAATTCTTTATCTTTTCTTCTTCTTAAGTTCTTATTAGCCATTGTCTAAGCTTTCTTCACTAATGTATTGCAGTCTTCTTTTAGGTTACTAGGTCTGTAAGTGCTTTATTCATATCAATATTTAGAGATACAGGGAGTTGCCTCTTCCAATAATATTTAAATTCAATAAAATATGTTTAGTCAAAGTCTTACAGACAGCCAGTTCATATATTATCTTTAGGGGGATTGTCACCATCCTTCCGTTTACTGCCTCTCTTAATGCACTTGGGGGTCAAAAAGCCATCTGTGAAATTGGAAGTCACATTTGAAAGCCTGCCCCATTAGGCTGCCATTTCCATGCTCCGATCTCTCTCTTGAAGAGCTTTGTCCTCATGCCTCTTTCAGCATCAATGTGGTGGGAGCTGGAACTCGTCCTGTCAGGTAACACCAGCTCCTCCTGCCACCCCTCAGAAGTTCCAGCTGGATGACCAGTAGCTGATCCACCCGAGTCTATCTATATGTATTTCCCATTGACTTTCATTAAATATGTTACGGAACCACAACTTTCACTTCTGTGCAGATAATTCTCTCTTCCTCCTTAGATGCTGGCATATTTAAGGATCATGCCTTGGAAGGCTGGGTACCAGATAAATTGGATTACTCTTAGGGGCTCAGATTTCTCCAGCAAACTGGAAAGAGTGTTGGAGAGGCAGGCTTTCCACCCTGCACTCTGTTTGCTCGTGTTATTAATTGTTGTTATGGCTTGTGGTAATGGTGCTAGTGATTTTAATGTTGTTATTTATGTCATGCGCGTACAGCGATGTGTTCTGGACCGCATTTCATCCCAGAGAGCACATGTCACCCCCCTCCCCCATTCTGCCTCTGTCAGGGGAAGAGTAAAGAGCCTTTTTCTCTTTATGACCCCACCGAGTAGTTACAATTGAGGTGAGCTCACCACCTGCCAGCTGCCCACAAAGGGACAATTGATGGCCCTGCTCTGTCGTTCACCTCCATTTGTGTATAGCATCTGCCAGTGCCTCTGTGTTTGTGCATTCTGCTCGGAGAAGGCTAGGTCCTCTCTATGGCTTCCATGGTACTGGGAAGAGAGAAGTGCATTTAGCAGTTTCTACAATGTCCAGCAGCATAATACAAAGACCTCTACCCACTCACTGCTGAACACCCTCTACCAGAGACACAGCTCTTTGTTATTCAGAATATTCCAGACCTAATCACTATGAATGTTAATTGACTATGCATAAATTGATGCAATTTTGTCACAAAATACTGAAGAGAACCAATCTTTCTCCAGTTTTTTTCTCCTCTGTCATCTCCCTCACTTGCCCCATACCCTGCCTCAGTGAAATTAACTCTACTTGGTGCTAAAAGAGCTGAGGTGAGGTCAATTTATTTTAGAAATTAAGGGATTTTCTAACTTAAAATTTATACAGTATAATTGGCAGTATTTCTTTTAGCCACCTGAAAGATTTAGAGCGGGGGGCAAAAATTGGGTTGCAAAATGGTGACAAAACAGAAGAAAAACCAGAAGTTATTTATATTCCCTTTATTTTTTTTCCCCCACTCCCTCCTTCCTTTTCTCTCCTTACTATACTTCCCTCAACAGGCTTTTGTTGAATATTTGTATATTCTGAACGTGGAATTCCAGAGATGAATAAAGAGTTCTCCCCCTCAGACTTACAGGAAATAATCAAGCCAGAAATAGTTAATTATTTCATACTATCCACATGTCAGGCATGTACAAAGTGGTAGGCCAGCTCAAAGGCATGCTCAGCTCCTTGTTCTGGGGTATCAGGAAGGTCACACCAGGTGGTCTTTGGACTGAGGTCACACCAAGTGGTCTTTGGACTTCAAGCATAAAATCTAGTAGAAAAAGGATGTTTTTCTGATTGAGAATGAGAGAGAAAATTAGACAGAATTAGATATTTGGAGAATGAGACAGTGACAAGAGAGGAAACTAAATGATTTAAGGAGGAGTATGAACATGGCCTTCCAGATGTGATATGCTGGACAACATGTACTAGTTTGCGGAATCCGATTGTGTGCATCTCTTTCCGGTCCCATGTTAGGTGACATCAAGTTGGTGGCTTAATATAAGCCATTATAAGAGTATGTTTTATACCATGGGAATTAGCAAATACTATCCATGATCCATTCATTCCATTCATCCCTGCATCTCTCTCTCTCATTCTCTCTCTCCTTCTTTCTTTTCTGGAGAGTCAGTAGTTAAACGCTTACCACCACACTCCTGCCCTCTAGACTGTGAAGGTTTATTTCAAAGAGGTTGCAGCACAACTAGCCTATACCTGCTGAATATAGAGCCAAAGGAGAAGTCTGTGTTTGTTGCTGAAAGGATTGAGAGTTCAAGAAGGTCCTTATTCATTAAACATTCCTTCTGTACCTGTGACTATGGTTGATGCTGGGAAGATACACTTGATACCTAGCAATTGCTTATATGCAGGGGTTATTGTCTAGTACACACTATACCAGTCAGTGAGAGAAAAGTAGTGGTTGAGAGCTGAGCAGAATGGTCCAGAGAACTTGTATTCCTAGAGATGGGAGAAGAGGCTGGATGGCAAAGGAGGATTTAGGGGAGAGGAAACTGAGGCCCCTGTGGAGGTGCAGACTGGGTGGGCTGATGCTGTGTGGCACATCCTGAGAGCCAAGGCAGAGAAGGCTGCTGGGGAGGGATTTCCCACGGGTAAGGTTTGAGCAGAGTTTGAAGAATCAGGCCAGGGCCTAGATATCCGGAAGATGCTGTGTGAATTTTGTCCCATGGAAAGTAGGTTCTTACCAGGGTGGGTGATAGGATTGAGATTCTGGGGAACTGATTCTGATAAATGCTGTGTTTGGCTTGGAATGGAAGAGGATGCTAGGAAAGGGTGGGTAAGACCCTGGGAGCATGGGGACCTGTTGTGAGGCTGTGCTTAGATATGGTGAGAGGCTTTGAGATAGTTGATGCTAGAATCGAAGATGGGAGAAAAGACTGCAGAGAAGTAACTAAGCTTATCCAAACTGGGTGTACCGAAACAAATGTGGTACATGAAGTGACCAGTGGGCATGGTCCTTGGAGTTGATGGGGAGAGGTGTCATGGTGGTTGTAGCCAGAAATAAGGGCATCAGATTCACACCTTGAAGGGAGTATAAGGCTGCCTGGCACCCAGGGCATGGGGAATGGCAGCCGTGCATGTGAGTTAAGGCCAATGGCATAAAATATAGAAACTGTGAGGCTGAAGAATTGCATCAGTTGTCAAAGTTTCTCCTAGAGTTGTTGATGTTGAACAAAGACTTAAAAAAATAATAACTGAGCTTAGTGAGGCAATACCCAAGAAGACAATAATTAATCATTATTTATTATCATATATGATAATATATATCATTATCATATAATAATAATTTATTATCATTACAATCATTATCATTTATTTATTATCATTAATAATTATCATTATTGTTAATGATAATTAACATATTATCATCATCTTTTCTTGCAAAACTCAGAGCTCCACGGCAGTGGGGGAACATACATCTTTTTGTTTTTCTGGTGCCTGGCCTTGAGCATAGCAGCTAGGTGCTCATTTAAATATTTGTTGTAAATGGTTAATAAAAGTAGGTCTTTGGGGAAAAACATGGTGAGGATAGAAGTTTGGAGGACCAGGTAGGAGCTTGAGAGAATGAAGAGAGACTGGAGAGATGAAGTGAGATCATGAATCATTTGGTGCTCTGAGAGTATCCCACTGGAGTGAGGAAAGCTGAGATCCTTCCTCTTCTCTCTGCAACTAATAAGGGTAATTGAAGTCTCTTTAGAGAGGGCAGTGGGCCACCTTGGTAGCTCTGAAAAATATCAGCTCATAGTTATCCTGAGTCTCACTAAGATGAGTCATCTCATAGGTCAACTCCAAGGCATTGGTTAATTCTGATCCATTTGGTTAGTAGACTTGCCCAGAGCATAAAGCAGGGCTACAGTGTTTGACTGGGCTTTACAGCATGAATGACACTCCTAGGTTGTGCTGTGTGCAACCTGTGTAAGCACATGCAGCAGCCTGAGCATGACTGTTAAGTGCATGACTGTGTTGGTAGAGGAGTCACCAGAAGTTGTTATCCAGAAGGAGACATGCAAATTGTATTTTAATTGATAAATATGTAATTGCTGGTAGTGA